CCCCAAAACCCCAAAACCCCAAAACCCCACTGACCAGGACCAAATTGAAAATCTTGATTAATTCAATTTCTTGATTTGAAGAGATACTAGTACCCAAATTCAGATATATCAAAAAAATAATTAAAGCCCAAGAAATAAACTCCCTCCATCAAAGATTTACAGTTGAGACTATCTAGCTTTTAGACACCCTCTGTTGCTGCCCTTAAATTTTTTTAAACCAGTAAATCAAATAGTCTTGCTCTAATTATTCCAATGCAAATTATTAGTTAGTCAACAGTAAAAGCAAGTATGGAAAGGCCTACCATTCCACAAATGAAGAAAAGGATTTGTATCACTGCTATCCATTTACTCAGCACGAATCTCGTCAATATACTGGACAGGGACAAAAACAGGAGGTTAACAAACAAGAGTCCACCACAAGCCAGAGGAAGCACACTTTTGGTATTATGAATCGAGAAGTCACTAATATTCCCAACTATAGCTTCCTTACCTAGACTGATTCCAAGTCCAAAGAAGAGATTAAATAGAGGCCCAGCAATGCATCCAGTGACGGCCATCTTAGCATATCCTTTCTTTGAAATTGCCAGGTTGGCAATCATATCTCCGACTGAATTTCCCCAGGCCAGCACTGTGATACCTAAGAAGGCAGGCTTCAAGCTAAAAATAACACCCAGGAGTGATAAAATGTCAATCAAGACGTTCGCAACAAATAGGATCCAAATGATTGACATGAAGAATCCTCCCAATGCATAAACAATAATGAACCTCTTGGGAGCATGCTGCTGTTTAGTTGTGTAATAAATCACGATGGATAGGACCAAACTTGCTCCAATCAAGCAATAGTAAGCTATCGGTGGAGGGCCTGAGAAATCAATCATTTCTGATACCAAGAAAAACATCGTAACTGAAAATACCGGACTAATAACGGCAAATCTTCTATCCCAAGTTTCTTCATTCACTGGAGGAATAGTGAGCCTCCTCAAGACAGTAAATGGAGCATCCACGAGAACATAGATGATCTTTTGGATGAAGTTCATCTCCTTCCAAGGAGTTTCTTGCTGGACAGCCTTAGTAGCAAACCTGTGCATTTTTATTAATCCCCAAGCCATTTTATTCTTAATCCTATTGTTTTTCTTACGTGGTTCATCTTGAAAGAAAGATTCATTGTCAACTTCCTTAATTTCTTCCTCATGATCAAAATGGTTATGCTTCATTGAGCCTAAATAATCAAAAATATATGCTTACTTTGCTTAAAACTCTCCTGGCAGTGAATCAAAGAGTGGCTATCACTATCAAAAGCTGAATCAGTCGCTCTTTCACTTTTATTGATCTTCATTTCAGAGGAGTCCTGATCAAGCAAAGGAGTTTCATCAGGGTTTGAAACATCCCTTGAAATCTTTGATGGACCAATAGTGTCATCAAGTATCGATCCTTCCTGACTGTCTCAAGCAATATCAGTATTTTTGTCGCTATATAAAAAGATATTTAAGTTTTTGTTCAAGACCAATGAATCTATCAAATTTAGGAAAATATGTTAAAAACTTATCAAAATTCATTTTCACTTACCTAAATGAGTCCTTTGAAGACGATCTTTCCTTCTTAGTAAGACAAGAAGTTATGATAACTACTAAGATGAACACTATATACACCACAAGTAATGAAACTATTATAGGAATAGATATCTTCCCTACTAATGCAGCTATTAAGAGTATTATGGGCCCAAGCATATAGAAGCCCGTATCCCTCAAGAAATCTAGAGGTTCGAGCTTAATCTGTACAGGTGACATCAGCGTGACACAAGCAGTCACAACTCCTGATACAAAAAATCCCGCTCCTAGCAATGCAGATAGTGCTAAATAGGCTCCATCAAGATCTGCTCCTGAAGCAGAGATAGCACCGATGACATCAGGAGCTCCATTTCCGAATGCTAAAAAGGTCACCCCTGCTAAAGCCTCTGAAATGCCTAATTTATTTGAAATAGTTTCCAGGGCTGGGGAGAGATATTCATCTGCAGTCGACCCTAAAAGGTAAAATCACAGAACAATAATGATAACAAGAGGTACAACCATTCCATAATTATGATTTCCTGCTCAATAATATAATTGATAAAAATCAAAATTTGATTCATGGTCATCTCACGCTTCTGCAACATATTCACAAATATCATCAGCTTTCAATATCGAGGAGTTTATGCACTCAAATTCTTCATCAAAGTAAGCCTATGCACAAATATTATCAAAGGGATTCCCAGAATAACTACAGATGTTCCCAAATATCGAGCAATCTTACCATTAATTTCCTAAAAATTATAACTTAAAATTCAATCAAAGTACATTTTTTTGGGGTTTTGGGGTTTTGGGGTTTTGGGGTTTTGGGG